TGTCACTGCGGCTGTTCTCGAGCTCTCTGAATTTTCAGACGTTATTTTCTCATAGGATCGCATCGCTGACAGCGTTTGTTATCTGTTGAAAAGAAATGTTCACCTATCCCATACTCGGTGGACACGCTCGTGCTTAAGCTGACATCTTCGTAGTCAATAGATTGAAAGTTTTTACATTTTAAATGGACTCACTGAGGATCTCCGTTATTATCAACTTAGAAGACAGAAAATTAATTATAGAGGCAGTCGTAGGGAGGTCGATCTCTGAACAGCATAACTTTCCAGCTGATTGCTCGTTTTGATAGGGCAGATCAGCCTCGTCTGGGTTTATCTGAAAGGGCATCCTGTCCAGGCGAGAAATACGGGTCAAACCGTGAAACGATGACGGGTTTCCGATGCGGTTTCGGAATATTTGTGCAACGGTTTTTCTCTACTGTTGGACGAAGTTCGACGACGTAACAATGGAAAATTGTGATGTACGATTGCAATACGTTTTGACGATTCTGATTCCGGGCTCGTCATTGGTCAGTGATTGCGGGCAAGAAACATTAAGAAGATGACTGTGTTCCTGATGCATGTTTGTCAAACCGAATTGCAAAACATAACTGGAGAAATTATCTACCGTCGATGCTTTTGCATGTCATCACCGGTAACACTCAGCACGGAATACCTGAAAATCTGTAGTCTTCGTTTTGAAAATTTAAACAAAGTATTAATACCATATTGTTGAGTGACAGTTCTGTGTCACCTATTCGCGAAATAACATTTTTCATGACAGATTAATGATTTGCCCAGCTTTGACTTATATCAAGAGATGAAGAACGTTCATTACACATGTGGTATTTTTGTACCAAAATATGAATAAACTGTTGTATTAATAACCCTAATCAGGTGCTCTCCTATAAATTACCGAAATACTGTGAAACATTTTTCTGCCAGCTCGTTTCGCTGCAACGTCGACCAACCTATGTGCCCCTGTAAGCTGTCCCTGTACTAACGAAACAATAAATACTTGGTGTCGTCTACCATGACATTGAAGTAGCTGCAGTTTTAACAAACCAGTCAGTCGGTCTGTCTGCGAGCTATGACTTCTCTGTCTGAAAAAGAGGCCTAGATTTTCTCAGATATGCGAACTCCCTACTTTGTGGAGAGCGGCCATGCGGTCTCAGAACATTCGTTACGGCGGTTTATATCCGAGATTGCTGTTTTGACATAATTATCGTGATTTCTTTCGTTCACTCTTGATGATGCTGCCAGCGTTGGTGACGATAAGAGCCTACTGTTAAGTAAATCGTTATCATACTTGTTTTGCGTTTGGATGCATTCGTCATTTATGAGGGAGAGACTGGATGTTCGTCTGAGCATAGGGACGATTTCAGAATGCGTTGCACGATTTTTTTTTAACCAGCAATCCTAAGCCAATTCGAGCTTGAAATACGGCGAACCTACGGATTCGAATTTGTATACGAAAATCGGTTTTCCGAAGTCCAGGGAGGAAGGAGAGATTTTTTTCAATTCCATTCACGAGAGGTTTCCA